CAGTCGCTGTAGATAGAGGGATGAATAACCGCTTGAGTTTTCTTCACCTCGTTTTGGATCGTTGTAAATATATTTTGAGTGCTCTCACTGGGCATAATGCATAAAGCGTATCATGAGGTCCGAGTATTGAGGAAAGTGCAGGGACGTGGAATAATCTGTCTGGTTGACCTGGCATTTGATTCTTGGTAATAAAGTCCCATCGCAGTCCCATATGCACTGTGTTTTGATTCTCATCGAAATGTGTTCTCTCGCAGTCTAGAGCGTGGATTTCTGATACTCTGGCTGCCGTTGCTAGGGATAGCAGGAACAGTGTTTTCTGCGTCAGAAATTCGAACGATGTTGATTCCAGTGGTTCATAAGACTCACTTGTGAGGTGTTGGAGCACTATATTTAGATCCCATGCTGGAGCGCGAAATCTCTCGAAATGAACGTAGCAAGGCCAGTAACTCTGGCGTCTTCGTTAACTTGACACCCGTTCTCATAGTTATCACTGAACTTAATGCTGCGAGATACGTAGATAGTGTCGAGCCTTTTAGACGTTTGGTTTGTCGTAGGTGACAAAGGTAGTCTGCCACTTGAGGGTGTGTAGCATTTCTAGCTGTAAATCCCTTTTTAGCAGCGTATGTCTCAAAAATCTGTGCCACTTGTCATCATACAAGTTAAGCGCGTACAGCCGCGCGCAAAGCAAGCGTGACTGCTTTTGCCGCCCTGGCTGAATAACCTCTCTTGTTTAAACACACTTTAATACAGTCCATACGTGAAGTTGGAATGCTCCTGGGTTTTCGTGCGCTTGTTTTGTGTGAGGATGTACAAGTAGATTCGAGCGCTTTGGTAGTTGTAGTATTGGTTGTCCGATTTCTTGAATTAGAATGGGAAACCACGTTCTCGCTGGCCAGTAGGGCGCGACCAAAATCAGTTGGAGGCTCTGAGTTTGTCTGATTTTCTGTAACACCCTTGGTATTAGCGCTGGCGGCGGAAACGCATACGCGTTGAGGCCTTCCCAGGATATCCTTAGAGCGTCCGTTGCCCACGCTTGTGGATCCAGGACTGGTGAGACGAATGTTGTTAGTTGATTGATGAAGCGAGTGGCGAAGAGGTCTATTAATAGAGCTCCTATTTCCATGATAATCTGAGCGAAGATTTCTGGGTGGAGTTTCCATTCCGTCGGTGACGGTAGATATGGCCGAGAGAGTGCGTCTGCTAGTACATTCTTGGCTCCGGGCATGTGGCATGCTCTGACATGTATGTTTAGATCGTCGATCAGATCGAACAGTTGGAAGCATAGAGTCAATAGGTTCAATGATCTCGTGGAACCTTGTTTGTTTATATAAAACGCCACTGTTGAGTTGTCGGTGTGGATCATTAGGTGCGCATTCTGTAGAATGGTGCTCCAATGAAGTAGGGCGTTGATTACTGCTTTCATTTCGAGCATGTTTATGTGCAGTTTGCTCTCTTCTTGGTTCCATAACCCTGATGCCGTCCGGTTGGCGAGATGAGCTCCCCAACCTTGGAGCGCGTAGCGTCTACATAGAGATGGGTTTTGAACTCCGGCTCTGTTAAATAGATGCCTTCGCAAACATTCGACCTCCTGGTCCACCAAAGTAGATGAGGTCTGAGGTAATAATCTGTCCGGATCGTCCGGTTGTACATTCATGAAGACCAGTAGTGGGTGTAGTTGTAATTCTCTTTGCATGTCATTTCTTGTGCTGACGTGCGAAAAACCACCAATTTCGCCACTTCGTAGTAAAAACGCAGAGAGTAGTGCTTGAGATACAAGAACTTGTATCTAAATCCTACGATCTTGACACCCTTACCGTGTCTGTAAGGAAATGAAGTGATGGCCGACAACGTGACTGCCATCGTTGAAACTATGTAAAAATCGCCTGGCTGCCGTGCCCTCGTCTTCAGTGATGACAGGGGAGGCCTCTAACCCCATGAAGGCAGCCAAATCACGAAGGTCCAGTCTAACTGGACTGTAATGGAGGCGTTGCTCGCTCGCTGACATGTTGTTGTCACTTGTAACCCATGTCTTGATCTGTGAACTACGTTCGATCTCTGCGCAGGGCGTTGTCCCTCGTGGTCCAATCAAAACAAAGCATTTTGGTTCTGTAGGCTAGCCGTGCTGTGATGTCACCGGTGTAGCAGGAAAAAGATCCCTGTAGAATCTAGTGCCGTCGTTGATATCTGATCAATCGTCGGTCTTCTCCGTAGCTTTCCGAAGTTACACGAGTGACCACGTGTGTCGAGAGTTAAATGGTAAACGCGCGAATATTTCGCCGCGTAATATCAATGCTGGGTAGGCTGTCTACTTCAGTCTTGAAGATAATGCCATCGTCCTTATACATAGGCTCAATTGAACTTTCACGTTGTCAGCTTGTAGACTGCATACATCAATGAAGCGTCGTAATTGTAGAATTAATGCTGAACATCTTGTAATTTTTTTCTCAGGGAATCGTTGACGATTATGTATTTATCTTGCTGTAGCAAGGCTGTTGAATCCTGTCATTGAGAATGTCTGCAGATCTGTACAAAGGTGAAGATCTCTATAAGGCCATGAATCTTCTAATGTAGATATATCAATCTATGTGAATCCCATCCTGGATTCCGTCTGAAGATCCGAGCTAGTGATGAATTCTGACAAGAGTACCTCTCTTGTACTGTATTACCTATCTTAGTCTTTATAACGATGAAGATTTTTCCCTTCTAGGATGACGCTACTTCGTGTCCTAGTTGAATAACCTTGACGATCTGCGTAGTGATCTGCGTGGTGGTCGGCTTGGTGTGACTGTATGGCGCCGTGCATGTAGATAATCGTCTCGTAGTCCGGAATTGCCTACCTGGCAATATATACGGAAATGGTGATTACCGTGATGATCTGCGAATCGTCGTTGATGCCCTTGATGTAGGCAGGTCTGATGATCCTTTATTAGGCTCTTCATCTGTTGACAGTCTCTGAAGATAGCGCCCTCCTTCGCGCAGCTTGTAGACTATAAGTAGCGTTCTGTTAAGAAGTTAAGTACTGCAACGTCTCTGCCTTGTGGATGGCCTGTGTGAATGCCTTCGCCCGCAGGCTCGGTGATGACATATAGCGTTCTGTTGAGAATGTAAGTACTCTGCGGCACTGCGTTGTAGTTTCGGCGTATAGAGTTGCGAGTTGCGAGTAGATCTGCTGCCAGATGTCACGTTGATGAAGGGTCCCTCAGAGACGATGTCTGCGTTGGAACCTTCGCGAAGGCTCGGGACCTCGTTGTGGGCTGTGACTTCTTCTCCAGGCCGTAACGCTGATCATCCCCCGGTTTGAAGGTCTGCGGTGGTAGTAGCGCTGCCCTTTCTGCGTTGATAGCGACGTGGTCCACAGGACGCTCATCTGTTGTCATCGTAGATACCTCCTACCGTGGAGATCTGCGCTGAAGTCACCAAAGGTGACTGGTCGTTACTTGTGATGAACCTCTGGGAAGATGATCGGTTGATCATCGGAGAGTCCCTGTACCGTCAACGAAACAATCTCGGCAGAGAAAGTTCTTGTAGTCTGCGCAGACGTCCCCGTAGAGTTGTCGTCATCTAAGGGGTGTGTAGCCTTCTCTGGGTAGAGGATGGTGTCTATACATCGTCTGCGAAGTTGTAGACGCTGCCTTATCTGCGTTGGTGGCGACGGGACCCATGGGAAGATCATCAGTCATCAGCGTTGATACATCGAGCTGATTGTGGATCTGCGCTGACATCACTGTTGCTGATACCGGTCGTTTCTTGTGATGAACCTCGGGAATGATGAGCGGCTGCTCATCATACAGGCCCTGTTCTGCGACGGGAACAATCTCGGCCGAGAAAGTTCGTGCGGTCTGCGCTGGCTTGTTAGACCAGAGTCTGTGCTGAGATGAGTGCCCTCTTACTGCGACGACTGGATGTCTGGTGATGCGGTCGCTTCTTGAGGCGGACTGCATCCCACGCCAGTGAACTCCAGCGGAACACCAGACGGGAGGGGATCATCCGACAGCAGTTGACTTGAGAGGGATTCAGCCGCATATCCATGCCTGGATATAGCTTACGTGACCTATCTGCTGTGCGTCACAAGACGCAAAGTAAATATTTGTTCAATGCAGAATTATATAAATTATTGCAAAAACTGCAACCTGAACTGAAAGAACATGGTACAGTACAGCTAGGGCATATTAAATGCGGATCAGCAGCAGAAAAACGTAACTTGCAAACAGTACAGATTTTCATCAACGTAATCTACTGAACAATCACGGCGTCCCGTGAATAAACAGTAGTAAATACGAGTAAATACGAATAAATATTAAACCATATTGTTGAAGGATACTAGCTAAACCTCTATAAGAGACTTGTAGAGGTAACTAAGTAAGAATAATCAAAGGATATAGTGCCGTAGGGAGACACAGGCGCTCTCACATCCTGCTCACTGGGCGAAGAAGGAGAGAGTGAAGCATGTGGGATGTGGTGGCGCCACCTTTCCCGCCAAAAGGGGCAGGAGAGACAACTCTTGGTGAGTATTGATAAGTGATTTTAAATTGAAGGTACCTTCAATTAGGGAGATACAAGTGTTCCACTATGTTCGCAAGAAGAAGACAAGCAAAAAGAGCATGAGTCAGGATAAGGAAAAATTATACAATTTACCATCAATATCCATCTGAATCTCATCAAGAGACTTTCCAGCAATGTTCTGAATGGTTCCCTTTTCTAATTCCACCAATATCTTGCTGATTTTTGCAATCTGTATTGTGTCTTCAGGCAATCTATAATACTCACGGTGGATGTGAATATCATGTCCAAGAAAACTCGCTAATGCATCTAATTCATTGTCCTTAAGATTCAGCACTTGGGAAACTGTAGCCACGTGTTTCCTCAATGATGTTGAAGTAAGTAACTCTGGCACTTTTGCTCTGCAAGCAATGCTGAATTTTCTCAGTACATCTGCACACCTCAGAGGTGTAAGAGATTCTCCACCTCTTGCAAAAACATACTTGTTATCTTTGCTGATGTTGCAAACATTCCGATATTTGTTCAGACAGTCAATCCTTGCCTTGTGACTGTCAGGCAGCAGTACTGCCACAGTTCTTCCTCTTTCCTCTTATCTCTACACGACTCATTGTACTGGTAAGCTTTCACTCAAATGATGATAGTGACAAAGCTACTTCTTCATGCAAATCACTTCTGGCTGTCATTCTACCAGTATAGTGTTTCAGTTCCATTCTTTCAGTCTCTCCTCCTCTTCTGTTGAAAAGGACTACTTGTGCCAGGACAACTTCTGCCAGATTTCGCCAGGTATCTTGAGATGGACATGATATGATCAATTTGAGCAACGTATCACCAGCCTCTTCCAGGTGTTCATTCATCTTCCTGATGTCCTCAGCAAGTGGTATTCTTTTGGGTGCATTAAATCTCCACTTCTGGAGGGTTTGTAAAGCAACACTCGAACTGGCACTGTCCCATTCACATTCACAGAGTTCCAAGAAAGCCTTGGCTTCTGGTTGCCTTGTCTCATCCTGAGATTTGAGAGCTGATGCATTGACAATTTTGGAACATTTTCTGAGTGAATGCCCCAGCTTTAGAGCCAAAGATGGAATTCCAAATGAACATTTGTCATCTGTGAATTGTGATGCTCGCTGCTCACTTGCAATGACCTCATTAAACAACTGAGGCTTAATACAGTCAGAAAGAGTAACAATACCCTTCTTTGTTTCTCTTGCACACAAGAGGAATCGACCAAGCTCTCTCATCTTCTGTCTCACATATTGATACTGATGAACATTGCTTGCACATTTGTTGAACAATCTGCAACCATACTGTACAATGAGGTCATCATTTCTTACAACGAGCGATACAGTGTCACTGTGCACTTTATCAAGCACACACTCTTTGAACACCATATTCACTTCTTTAGAAACGGGTAACAGTGCTGCCCCTGCAGCCTGAGGTTGATTCCTGGACTTAACATATCCATCAAGTGTTGTATTGAATTTGCATCCTTGAACATGTCGCCAGAGATCTTTCCTCAGAAAAAAGGCAAAACAGTATTCACATTGGAGAAAATCAGCAGCAGTAACATTACTATCAGCACAAGGTCTTTTCAGAGGGATTATAGTTCCTTGTCCACAAGACAAAACTGTCTTATTATGATGAAAATTACCCCGGTTTCGGAGTTCCTGCCATTTCAACTTCCGTTCATTTGATTTCAATGGGAAACTTAAGGCAGCTGCAACTTCTTTTTCCAACTTGTGTTTCTGCTCCATGTGTCTCGGAAGCTTTGCATAAGATTTTGACAGTACACACAGACGCTCGATTTATCCCACACTCTTTGTGAGGACTTGGCACACTTAAATACAGTCACTATATTTTTATCACTTGAAATTCCCGTCATTCTGAGTATTGGTTGTACTGTCTGCAACACACACACATATGTCAGTACTTTTAGTAGAAGAAGGTTGAGTATGCAGGATTGGAAAGTCTGGACAATATTCATTTTCAGAAAAGGAATCAGAAACACAGCTATCTGAGAAATCAAAAGGAGATTTCTTGGGATTCAATCTTCTTATTTTCACTGGAAGCACATCTGAGTCTGAAGATTCTGTCCCTAAATTTGAAGATGCGGGTTGTATAGGGTTCCACTCTTCATGGACTTGTAATCACATTAGAAACATCTGCAACAGGAAATGGTGCTTTACTCTTGCATCTGGTTAGACCTATCATAAAGTGCTGTTTAAAACGAAAGAAGCAAATGAGCAAAGCCCATAGATATACCTACAGTTAACTAGGAACACATACCCTAACCCATGTCATTATACTTGATCTCAGAAGACTTCTGGATAAAACTTTCATTCAAAGCATCATCTGTTAGTTGTTTTTAGATCTCAGTTGAAACAAAAATTGTTTTTTATAACTGTAAACAAAATCATAGATATTCGGCTAACAAAAAATGTTGTTTCTCAGACACCAGCTTCAGGCAGACTCTACATAGTGGAAATGGTGATTGCTGCTATTTGATGTTATTTTTTTAATGAAAACAGGCACAGTTTATTTCTCTACGATGAAAGGCTCATACTATGCACTGGTAAAGCAAATAGACATATTGGTATAGACATTTCAGTACTTGTTGTCAGTAGTGTGTGGGTGACAACATGCATCTATTCAATTTGTGTCCCTTTATGAATTTTTATCAGAAAGCAAAGCCTTTTTGACAGGTTTAGCCAGTAATTGTTTCTAAACATTTTACATTCAATAACAAACAACTCTCTGATATGCAGTAATTTGTTCTATTCAAAGGATGATTACTCACAAATACCATGCCATTTTTTGTCACTAAAGAAAAATGTCAGGACATATATTTGATTCCAACTTATAGGGAAAAACAACCCACATTGCATTGCGATTCCCTTAACAAAGTTACTTTTCACTGTTTACGATATAAACAAGGTTCTGAAATAAAGACCATATGACCATAAAGATTGAACAAGAGTTTGAAATAAGGACAGTAAATTAACCTTGCTGATGCTTTTCATCTGGATTGGGTGTTTCACCACATTCAGTACTAGCACCCTCAGCAGATAGTTGTGCCCCACCATGATCTGTGACCGGCTCGACATCAACACTCTCTGTAACAAAAGTTTATAAACATCAATGTCATTCCGTACTACCCAAAGCTAGAAAGGAAAAGATCAACGCTTTATGAATGACTGTCAGGAAAGGGGAAATGACAGAATATATACCAAATTTCACCTTATGATAAAAACAAATGCCCTCAACATAGTTAGCTTTCACTGTTTACATACAGATTGAACAAGAGTTTGAAATAAGGACAGTAAATTAACCTTGCTGATGCTTTTCATCAGTACCAACACCCTCAGCAGAAAGTTGTGCCCCACCATGATCTGCGACCGGCTCGACATCAACACTCTCTGTAACAAACATAAATCTATGTGAATCAGAACTACCTGAAGCTACAAAGGAAAAAGGTATTCCAACTTAACGTAATGGGTGTGCAATTTACAGGTAGTGGGAATGATCCACTTTCAACAGTTTATGAAAGACAATAAATATCATGTGTTTGGCAAGCTGAGGGTTAAATTGTCCCTAACCCTCCTGATGCTAAATAGCATCACAACCAACAAACACATGTGATAAGAATCATGTATCTATATGAAATGGCACAAAAGACGACACTTAATTTTTTGGTTTACTCATCTGCTTACTGTATCCAAATAAAGAAAGAAAAGTTAAATTTATTTGTAATGTACTGACCAATCTGTACTTTGGCAATATAAATAAAGAAAAAACTGAATTAACAATGCATAGTACACCACTGTCATGGTGATCTGTATCAAGTCAAAGAGCAATTACTTCTCTGAAACTATTAACTATTTATTTTTGGTCAGAATACCAACTGACCACACAACAAGAATGGGAATAAAATAAAAATAACAAAGAGACACAAATTTGTTTTTACTTTTATTTCAACCAACCCAACAAATTTTAATTGAAAAAATCTGTAAAACATAAAATTTAACAAGAAGACAAAGTAATCAATAACCCAGCAACAGTTTCATAAATCTAGCAAGTATATGTTTGGGAGATCTGCTGCAGACAAGATGACATCTTCATAGTCACAGCCTGAGTCACGTTTCCACAGCAACCGCAAAAATTAAATTTGTATCTGGGTCTAACCATCAAATGGCACATCTATGGATCATGCTTGATATGTGTACCAAGTGTGATGAAGCTGGCATGTATAGTTTAGGATATCTGCTCCGGACAAGATGACATCCTCATAGCCACACCCTAAGTCACGTTTACATGGAAACCGCAAAGAATAAAGTTTGTATCTGGGTCCAAACCCTAAAAGGAACATCTAGGGATCATGCTTGACATATTTACCAGGTTTGATGAAGCTAGCATGAATAATTTGGAAGATCTGCTCCAGACAAGGTGACATCCTCATAGTCACACTCACAGCCTAAGTCGTGTTTCCATGGAAACAGCAAAAAATAAAATTCATTTCTGGGTCTAACCCTCAAAAGGCACATCTAGGGATCAAAGTTGATCAAGTTTGGTTAAGCTATCACGAATAGTTTAGGAGATATGCTTCGGACAAAGTGTGACGGACGGACGGAACGCGTTTCTATATCCCCCACAACTTCATTGTTGCGGGGGATAAAAAGTTTGGACTGAGTGTAAATGAAGCATGTACAATTTGTTGTTCACATGTGCCCCCTAAAAGTCATAATGTGACCAAAACAACGACGTCACACTGGCATTTCCTATTTGAAATCAGATCTGAACCCAATTAACACATTTTGTCACCACTGGTAGGAACAGGAGAGGAACAGGAGAGGAACAGGAGAGGAACAGGACGGAACAGGACAGGACAGGACAGGACAGGACAGGTGAGGTGAGGTGAGGTTAGGTGAGGACAGGTGAGGACAGGTGAGGTGAGGTGAGGTGAGGTGAGGTGAGGACAGGTGAGGACAGGTGAGGTGAGGTGAGGTGAGGAGGTGAGGTGAGGTGAGGACAGGACAGGTGAGGACAGGACAGGTGAGGTGAGGTGAGGACAGGTGAGGTGAGGACAGGTGAGGTGAGGTGAGGTGAGGACAGGTGAGGTGAGGTGAGGTGAGGTGAGGTGAGGTGAGGTAAGGTGAAATTGGTTTTAACGTCGTGCTTGAGAATATTTCGCTCATATGATGACGTGCATGCGCGTGTATGTGTATGTGCGGCTGCTTGTACTAGCCCAGACTGAAGCTGGTTTTATAGTGCAAGCCCACTGAGATACCATGCCGCAATGAAGCATGAATACCCCTCAGACACATTATACTGACTCCAAGCCGACCAGTCCTTGTTGTACCCATTAATGCCGAGCGCCAGGCAGGGACCAACAAGTACCATATTTAAACGTCTTTTGGTATGGCGCGGTCGGGGATCGAAACCGCGACCTTCCGCTCTCCGGGCAGACGCTCTAAGCACTACACCACGGAGGCGGTCTGTAGGAACATGTAAATTTTCAACTTAAAGAAGCAAATTCATACACAATCAAGTTCAGTTTCATGCATAAATTGGTTCAGTTTCACACCATATATGGTATACAAAGTTATAAAGGTAAATAAATCAAACAAACACTATTAGCTCTTAAAGAAAATCAAATGAAGTCTCATCATTCAAACCAAAATCTTGATTATAGCAACCATTACCTGGTTTGAAGTATTTCTTAGGTTGCTCGTCCTGCTCACTGACAAAGGAACAAGACTTAGCATCCACATTACTTACATAAAACAGAAACTGATGAAAATTAATATTCAATATTCGCCTTTTATTGTGTCCTTGGTGTGCATGTTCAACAGCATTACATTTGTCACTCAACTTCGTGCATCACGGCACGGGTACTACTCGCAGCGACCTATCAGAATCAACAAAAAATGCATAGTGGAAAGTGTACTAAAGATAGCATGGGATTTCTATTTCCCAAGCTACAGTTTCAGTTAATGTAAGCAGCACTGCTTACTTGAAATAGTTAACAGATTTGAAAATCAAACGAAAATGAGAAAGACGAAATAGTGAGTTTGTTATGCAGATTTGCACATTCCTGGGGTTTTGAATAAATGTTTGTTGGTCATGTTGATTGGCAGCCGTTTAATTTACCGGTTGTGCTTGATTTTTGCCAGTCAAAAAACAGCATATGCCAGTAAACGGAAACACTGGTAATATTGTAGCAAAATTCGCTACAACTTATATAATTATCATTAAAAGAAACAGAGGTAAGAAATTAATTCTTTTTCAAAGCGTGCCCTCGGGGCATGGCGAATATAATCTACCTGTGCCATGGCACTCAAAATATGGTCCATTTCGACCCCTGACAGTGGTTCTACTGAAATTTCACTTGTAGCTTGATCATGGATACCTTCCAGTGTCTAACTGTGTTAATATTCTTAATGTACAACATGCCATAATTTATTTGTATGGGCCTTTAACCCATGGCCCTAAATAAATCTGTCTAATTGCGTTTTAATACTGTATCTAGCTTTGTCTAAATGTTAGAGGAGATCCCCTACTAAAGTGGGGGAGTGTCTTAATAAAGTGTTATTTATCATGCCTGCAACTAGAAATTGTATTTTAATGGGTTTCTGAATACTTCTATAGTACAGTTGCATTTCTGTCACTTCAAACACCATAGTGAATTATTGAAAACACTGAACACATAACTGTGTGATCAGTGTGGTACTCATAATCAACGTAACATTTTCCTGAACTTTCCCAATTGCTGTGGAACCAAACGATAGTCACTATCCAGGGCTCCAGATAACTTTTGGGGGTGCGGGTGTACTTACACCTCACATTGCAAGTGGAGGTGTACTGAGAATTTTGAAGGAGTACTGACATGTTTTTGTGGGAGCGAGTTGGTGATGTGGTTTGTTATTTTTAATATTAAACAACTTTTCAGCTATGAAACTTTATATATGTAAGACTTACAAAGGTATTTATGTGCGTACATGATACGCTTGAAATGTTATATTATGTCGTACTTCATTGATTTTTAGGCGTACATTACACCTGTACGCCCCTTATCTGTAGCCCTGACTATCTCTCTATTGTTTTTTCCCAATATTTGAACGTTTTGCTGCCTGTGGAGTGTAACAGTTTGTAATTATATATGATTAGGCTTTTGCGAACATAACATTTTGAATAGCAGACAACAGAAACCTGCAACCTGAAGGCACACTGGCTACGGAAAAATGTCTGTGCATGTCTATTAGCAATCAAAGGCCTGCTGGCAAACACTGCTTGTTGGAAGTCACCATATTGTGCAATAAACTTGAAAATTAACGATCATATCCAGTTTCAACTGGAAACGGAAAGTGAGCTTTCACAAAGCAAAACAATATCAGTGTTTCTGACATAATTCATTGCACACAAATGTGATCAGAACATACAAAAGTGTATTTAAATGCATGATTTCTCCCAACGTATCTATTAAATTACCAAAGATACACATGAAATAATGTAAATCCTGGAGCCCAGATATGACACTAACATGAACAGGCTTGATTAAAAAACAACATACCTTTCTCCAGTACATGTTTTCATCTGTAGGTCCATAGTAGTAAGTGAGCTCTTCCTCTGAGGAAATCTCTCTTTTGTCAAACAAGCACGAGTGTGTGTTTCCACCGAAATACAATGCCTTCATAACAAAGTTGGCCTTTCTATTTGTGATGCTGTCATTGACGTACCTTCCGTAACAATTGGCATCTGTGGCATCAATGCTAAAAAAAATCATGAAGAATCCAGACTGAAGTGAAAGTTATGATTTAAAACAATAAGATCTTGTAAAGTAACATACAGACAATCATGAAAAACTACTGGCAAACAAGGATAAGTTGGACCAGCGCAGAGAACGCGTTTACGAGAAGTAGGCGGTGCACGACAATGAGCAAACCCATTTGGTTTGTGAAAGGTAGAGATGGAGTATGGAAAGATTGAATGGTTCAAGGCATTGTACGCACAATGGACTCAGCTCGTGGCGAAAGAACTTCATTTTCATTTTGCCACTATGGTTGAGAGAAAGATTAATCGTCTGAGTACAGGATTATATAAATTATTGCAAAATGAACTATCTCCAGAACCGATCCCATTTCGACATCTAAGACGAGCACTATCAAAAATTAGAAGAGCATTAAGTGAAAAGTACTCGAACTTCCATTTGGTTCATAAGAAGTTACCATATTATTATACAGCTACTAAAGTGCATTATGTCAGACGGGATAGTACTATCTATGTCACTATGATGTTACCAGTAACATCCAAAGACAGAAATACTCAACTTTATCAAGTAAAGTCATTCCCCATTCCTCTCAATCATACTTCTGATGATGCTACAGTTGTTCGCGAGACAACACCATACATTGCTATTTCAACTGTTGACCAGACTTTTGTAGAATTCACGGGTGATCAATATGAACTCTGCTCACATGATGCAATGCTCGTAAAATGCCATAGTTTACCAGCTCAAAGATCTTTCGGTAACCCTTCATGCAACTTAGCTCTGTTCTTAAATGATATAGACTTGGTTCATGAATGCTTGTGAAATTGTGTTTATTCCAAATGGTGCAGGTCGTTTCATGTATGAATTGAATTCAGGTGATCTCCTGTTATCTGGTGTTCCCCACATAGTTTCCACCTGTGCAGGGACAACTCGACAGATGAAAGGCTGTAGTTTGTGCGTCATCCCATTGCTATGCAACTGTAGAGTGGATGGTGATGGTATGATGATACCACCAAGGTTGACAGGGTGCCATGAGGCTACCAACAAAACTAGTTTCAAATACCCTTTGAATTTGGACTGTTGAGACACTCTTTTTCTGCTGACGATCTTAGAGCAGAAGTAGCAAATTTCCTGACTGATCAACCTGCTAGTTATGATATTCCGGCATTTAAGGTGGCAAATCACACCTTTTCGAAAATAATGGGAAACGACAGACAGATAAGTATTGATCTGCGGAGAGCAGTTGAGTTAGCAAAACAGAATAAGATAATTTATACAGATCCCACTGATCCTATCTTTATGAATAACTGGACTCCCATAGGGGACACACAGTGGCTATCAGGAACTTCATATCTGATATATGGATGTTTATTTGGACTCATTATTCTCTCTATGTATGTAGGCATACTTGCTAGAAGACTTAGTGTACTGATTTTGGCTTAGTCATCTAGAAAAAGCTTCTGCATCAGTTCTAAACAGAGATTCGGTCAGACATTTGAGATGGAATCCACCTACTTCTACCCCACCAAAGGCTTCCACAAGTGATACCATGGCAAACATCAAAGCCATGTTTGATATCAATATCCTGTTTTATGTAGGGGTTTTAGTAATATTTGCCATAGCCATCTACATTATCATGAAAAGGTGGAGGAACTCAAAGACATATTTGGAAATAGAACTTGCTTCAAAAACCAGATGTGCTCACGTTACCTTGGCTACAATTCCAGTAAGTCCTATGTATTTGCGAAATATGGAGGCAAGGATGGTTCCTCAGTCAATTTCTATTACGAGACGATTAGTCAGATTTGACATGATTCTGTCATGGGGATCTATTAAACCGAGCCTGATTAATACAATCACCAACGAGAGTGTTGAAATATAGTTGCGGACAACGATGACCTCTCCTTGGCTTTACTTTCTATCTATTGTATCTGAGGGCTAGATATCATCGTCCAAAACGGAGCCAGAACAAGTTTTGACAGGCAAGCGGATCTTCCAAATACAGCCGGGGTCATGGGGGTCATGTACCTTTTACGTAGTTCCGGAGAAGAAATAGTTCCCTCTTTAAAAGGCTGTATCTCAGTTGTTCTTGGGTCTACGTTCAAAACAATTAGGGTTCTGGAATCGCCAGGACATCATCTACCATACTGGCTGGCACTTTTGTGTGCAGAATTAGCACATTTTGGGAGCAAACTACTCAGAAAAGCTGAAAACAAAAATACCTGCCAAACGGTACGTTCTAGCGACTTGACCCGTCCCGGCAAAACTGTTGGGTATTCGATTGTGCACCTGTACAAGAAATTTGGAAGTGTCGGAACAATTAGTTCTTGAGATATTTGCTGTCAAACGTTGAAATTGTGGAATTAATTTTGAATTATCGCCCCTTTGCTATTGGGCCAAGAGCCTAGAGATTTTTAAGGGGGAATATCTACACCTCGGTGCGCATCTGTTTGATTTTTTGTAAGTGATTAGGAGCATTGGTTTAGGAGTTATGTTTGGTACAAAAATCAGCGGAATAATAAATAATAATAATAATCCGAACGATTACAATAGGTCTCCTGCCTAGAGGCAAGGAGCCCTAATTACCCCAGGAAGGTATCCTTATCTTGGGTGAAAGCATGTAGATTAACCAGGGTTATGGATGAGGAGTATGTAGCAAGCATCTCGCTGATACATGGGAATGTACAATACCCAATACTGGTTAATGACTCAACTAGACCTTCTGCTCCACCACCTTGTACAACAGCAACACAAACTGCTGCTGTTAGGGAGGCCGTCAGGTTGATCTACCCACAGGTTCCTCCGAGACAGGAGAATATTGAAATGTCACAGTTCTAAATTAGTAATCAAACTCAGACTTACTAAGTGTCTTCGTGTGTAAGAATTGATTCCAGTGTATATTAAATTGACATCTTGTTGCATGATTTATAGATTTATACAACTATCTATGTATAAGATTGTACGTCAGGTATATTTGTTATTGCAATTTTTCTTATATCTATGTGATTGATATTTGCTTATGATGTTTTGATTGTATCATATACATATGTCTTAATCATGCATTTGAATTTATTAATAGCTGATTGGTCAAAATGGTAGATGCAGATGAGTTTTCAAGTGTTTTAATACTTAACATATTGTATGTAATTCACATAACTTACAACCAGATGTGAGTTACTTTTGACTTTGATATAATAGGTTGACTGTTGTATTGATATTGTAATATTCCAAGTATGGAATATACACTGGCAAGTTATGCACAAATCTTCTTAAGTCTAATTGCAACTGTATATAGAGCTGCTTGGCTGCAATTAGACTATGCGCTTTTAATAAAGCCATGGCAGCTCACATGGGGGTTTTGTGTGGCTAGCTGGTACCCCAAAGTATATCACTGCTCGAATAGTGCTGCTTTTTGCTTATTGCTAAATACACTGCTTTCCGCGCCCGTTTTTTATAAAAATTATTAGACGCACTATTCTGTGGTATACTGTTGCTAGTCACCGGTCGTTGACCATAGGGGTACATCTCTATTAGTTAGGCTTTGTTGTGTTTTGCTGTTGTTAGAGTAGAAATTGTTTTTTTTGTACTCTTCGATCATTGTAATACCCCTAACTGCTATCGTTGTCGGTACTTGTGAACCCAGTGCATTCATCATGGCTTCGTCAGACCCGCAATATGTGGTGACTACCATTGACGAAGATTTTTATAACCGGTCCCCTCCGGTTAGCATCCCTTACAAATTGTGGATCCGATTATGTCGCCTTTCGTTATTTTTGAGATGTCTTGGTACCTATGTTTATAACATGGGGGACCCAAGAAATAATGCTCCATCTGAAAGTTCAAAAAGTGAATTAAAGAGAGGCAACTTCTCTTTAAGACCACCAATTTTGTTCTCGCCTGTCAGTTAGAATACAAAGAGCTCTGATGGTAGCTGCACGACCGTCACGCCTGGACGAGAGAAACCTGTCATACTTGGGGCATATAGATAAGGCTATGGAGATCGGGGCGGCGGTACTCCTAATGTATGGCCTATATTTTGACCTTCCCCTCCTCGTGGTGCTAGGTGTTAAAGCTGCTATTCGAAACAAGGATTTGACTATCTTGTTTCACTTACAAGAGCTGCATACTGACATGGGCGCAGAATTACAAGGTTATATGAAAATATACTGGCGACTGCTACCCATCCCAAGGATGGTACAAGCTATCTCTTGTCCACAATCGGACGAAGTGGCTAAAAGTTTCAGTGAAGCTTCGTGTCACCTACTTTACTGTGGGAACCGATATTCAGGTAAAGAGGCACTGAGTTATTGTGCTCTCTGTACACAAGAAATATTTCCGATCCACAATGATTGTAGGAACTTTTCCCCAGTAACTTTGTGTAAATGGTGCCGACGTGTTCAACATGTAGGATGTGCAGCGACATTGTTGAAAATAACAGGGGACAATTTCCGTCAGGTAACACTGGAAAATCAGGCACCCGGGGAAACATGTATACGAGTCGATATACCCCGTATTGAAGGTTTGGAGGCCTTCCTGGCCGAGGGTCCACCACCCTCACGGGTACCTAGTTATTTAAATATAAAACAGTGCCCGGAGTGTCAAGTCCCATATGAGGACCCGTTTATTGGAGTGCCGGACAACATTTCACCGATTCTCTGCAAGGATCCAGTATTGTTCCCACCCAGGGATATTTTGGACAGATTCGATGTGAGGACACTGATAAATTACGATCGTCCCAAACGTGTGGAACCAGATCCCGAGATGTCGTTTGTTCATCTCTTTCTGGACACTGCATCAACAGTGCCTGACCTTCCCGAAGGCCTCATCTCCTATGTTGAGAGACTGATGGCACCTTATTCGGTTGGTCAGTTGGCTCAGAGAATAAGGTTATTTTGCCCTCCACAGAGCCGAGCTTTCTGGGACCAGTTTAACTGGAACCAGGGAGAAGCAATCCTGGCATTAGGTTCACAAGATGCATAGGGAGAAACAGTAGTTTATTGATATTGTAAACTTATTGTGATTTGCATGGAAA